AGAATCGCGCCAGGAGTCAAGACCATCAAGTGCGCATGGGCTTTAAAGGCCCACGCATTACAAAGCGCTCAGACATATTTGACCGGCATCATCAGTAAGGCCCTCAGAAAAATGAAGAGCTGCGTATGTTCGCGTACTGTGCAATTGTACTTGCAATAAGGTATTCTACGACAGTTTCAAAGATTCAATGGTACGATCAGTGACGTTCGTTTTCCGGCGGCAAAGTTGACACCTTGCGAGCCGAGGACGCCACAGTGTGTTCTGCAGGCGAAGCTCAGGCGTCGTACAAGTTTCCCGACTTTGAACCAGTTTGCTTGCTGAGTCGACCGGAGCGGCCAAGAATAAGTTATCGACGCTTCAAGTATATACACCGAGGGTTGCACGTCTCGGTGCTCCTGCAGATGAGCATTCGCGACAGCGCTTTGCGGGCGGACACTTCAACACAGGCATGTGCAACGCGGAGTTCTGCAGCAGTTTTACATTTCAGTCTGCATTAAACGACTGCCAGCTAGCGAGTGGGTTATTTTTATCGCCTTCACTGCCCTTCCCATCTTTCCAAGCAGCCGCTATAGTGTAAGGACAAAGTGGAACAACAAACATGGACGTCATCATCAAGCGTATATACTGCGCTGCTTTCAATTGTGAATCGACTCTTCAGGCAGGTACACGGATTGCGAAGCGTGAAGAGGAGAGCAAGATATGTATATATGAAAAGTAAACAAAGGTGTCGGTTGTAATTTTCCCTGCTTCAATATGGTTCACACATGCCAACTCCTAAATATTTCGGCGCAATATTCAGTATGTATAAATTATTGACACCCGTTTAAAATCCTAGTTCTCTTGGGCTCCTAAGCTACCATGCGGCACCACTGGCCGCCATAGGCACTAACGTGTGAGGTCAGTGTGACGTCATGCTAAGTCAAACACCGCGTTAGCTTTCTTTAGCTCTCAATGTAATACATTCATAAAAAACAAACTAGGGGGCTGGAAATAAAACAGAAACTTTTGCGCTCTGAGTTGTATACTGAGCAAGTACGGCCAATGATCTGTTCATTGTGCCGCTTTTAAATACATTTTAAATACACATTTAAATAATTAAATACGTCACGTGTTGCCTTCGCTCACTCGATGCAGCGTCACATTTCATTTTTTTTAAGACGATAGTCTTTCTTGCGATACTTGAACGCAGAAATTTTGGTCTGCCTGCCTATCTGTGTCTCTGTCCTTCTGTCTTAGTCTGTCAACCGATTCAGCAGAATAAGTTTAACTCCTTTCCCAACGACCAGCCATTTCGATCTGGTTTCTGCGTTCATACGAGCGAACATTGTCAACAAAAACGCGAATATTACGCATACCTGAGGAACAACATCAATGCGTATCTATTGAGCTGTGTATTTCTTTATTTCAGAAAATGCACAGATATGGAATTTAAAAAAAAAACGCGGTGCTTATTGCGCTGCGTTGACGACATGACACCGTATGCTAATTAAGATACGCTTCTTATGTACAGTTGCATAACATTTTTGTAATAACACGTCTAAATAGACGTGTCATAAATATTTATGCAATATGTTAAAATAACCTCGGGTCGAAGGACGATGCTTGCTGCTCCTTGTTTCCTGCTAGCGCCAAGTTCCGTGGACCTCGTCAAGCCGTTTTGCGGCTTTTAGTTCACGGCCCTCAACACCTGTATTTTTCGGAGTCTGATTACGAAATAAAACGATTCTGATGAGAATATGAACTTGGAAAATAACGCCAAAAAACCGATCCTGCCAGGTCACAATACCTTACGCTAACGTTGACGCATTTATTCAATCCGAAAAAAAAAAGAACGTCTTCCGCTTCGAGATTGTACAGCCCGCAACTGACCAATATTTTACGAATTCTTCGCCAACAAAACAGTCTTTCAAAAAGCGTGTCCGAATAAGTACGGGGGAAATACCATATTTGCTCGCTGCCTTTATAATTACTTTTCATGTGACGGTTAGACGTGCGAGAATCGCTAGAGATGTTTACACCAGCAACTGAAGATACCAAATTAAGCGTTATTTTAATTGACAGCCGGATTAAATGGGAGAATCCAAGTCCTTGCAGCGAAAAGCCCACTGATAAATTTGGAAAAGTAATTGAATCCGAGCAACTCTATCAGCAAAACTGACACCAAAGCGCACATCAACAACTAGCGGACGACCTGCATGACGTCACTGTTCACACCCATTGCCGCGGTTATTCTGCAGCGCAGCCCGAAAACCCAGCAGTGCTCCGATCGGATTCCATCACAGCGCTGATATTACCGGCGTCCACTCTTCCGAATCTCAAAAGGAGCGCCGATTATGTCATTTGATCTGACTGCTAATTAAACAAATAGTTTCCTTAATTACCTCAGTAACTGATGTCTTCAGTGATTTTCAGGTGTTTTCCATAAAAAGTAATTATTATTGCGGGAAGCGACTACCGCTTTCCTCCTATCTTCTAGGAGTTTTGGACGGGAATAGCTGATTATAATTACCACTTAAACTTACTACATACGCGTTACTTCCCAGCCAGGTCATTGAAAAGCATCTACAAGCGGCATGTACCGAAAAGATGCTACGTCGCAATGTGGTACAGGCACTGCTGAACCACATGTTACGAGCGTATACAATCGATAACACATCCCAAACACGCCGATCACATGCACGTTTACCCCCCCCCCCCCCTCCTCATACGAGGCGAGCTACGGTGACCGATACAACTGCTTTCGGCAGACAAAAGGTGTTCTCATTCATTGCCAGACTAAAACACTGCCGCCCTAAACCGATTTCAGCGAAGGACTTCCAACAACGACCAAAGTACGCATTCACTTCGTTAGCGCCGTTCGTCTCCCCGGCGTTATTCTTCATGCAGAGCACATGCACTCTTTGTGTGGAGGTTCAAAATGTGTACAACCAAAATCGCGCTCAGAACTAGTGAAGCCGAGCCGTAGCCACAATTTCATTTCGGTGAAGGAGCTGATCCGATTGATTTCCCCGAAATGCGTGTTTGTTACTTCTGGGTGTGTGCGTGTACACACGCTTTCAAAATTCAGGGCTTGCAACCAATTAGCTTTCGTACAGATCAGTTCTGCGTAAAGTAACATGCATTGTGCAACTGGAAATCAACTGTCACGGCTGGTCTGCGTCGTCGTATCAAGCTGAACAATGCAGTAATGCAGGAGGAATCCAGGCGACTGAACCGCAGAAGCGATAGACGGTGTGTCGTAGTGTGGAACAGCTGTGCACGCCGAGTGCCCCGACATTTAATAAGGACGAACTGAGGGGGCACGCAGCGTGTTCTGTGGAAATGCAACCGCAGTGGATCATTAGAGCACCGAAGGGACGGTCGACCCAGATAAGACACGCATCGGACGACCGTGCGCCGTCGGACATAAACACCGGCATGCCACACGTTCCCTACGCCCCCTCGGTATTTCCCGGCCTACTACGGACACACAACTGTGAACACAGATTACAGCTGATCCGCGCCCGGACCAAGGAAACCGGTTCTTCGACGCGAGGAATCTGCCGAGGCATCAACAGAAAATCGTTGAAGCCTTCCCGCGCCAAACAAACGCGACGAAAATAATCTTCGGCCAACACGGGCCAAGGGGGAGGGGTCTCGCGTCTTCGGTGCAGTTGGCCTTTCCGGCAACACGGCGTCGCGGTGCAAAGCCCATTCACTCCGTGTGTTAATTTGCACACGAGACTGCAGGCATACTGTGGCACTGCGCACGCGCTACACAACACGGAAAAAATGTAACCCTCAAAATGTCAACAACGAAGCGACTGCAGTGGCTCATGCATTGCTCAGGACGAGCGTGTACTGCAACGTCCGATGCGCGGCAGTATGCTCCGTGATATGGACGATCCTGGCACCGTATAGTCGTCAGCGCGTGTGGTGGGTAGTCGGAGAGAGGCGAAAACGAAATCATCTCGGGAGCCCAGCACCGAGCATTCCGTCGAAGCCCTTTTTGGTCGCGGCGCCCGAGACGGCTCTAGGCCTCGCTCGCTGGTTGCTCGTCTGCTCGCCGCCGAACGCGCACCACTCACCTTCGATGCAGACGACGTGCTCGCGGATCTGTTGGGCCAGCAAAGGATCCGGAATGACTTCCAGAAGGTCGTAGATGGCGTAAATGCTCGGGTGGACGCTCTCAAAGCGCTGGATCTCCTGCCGAATGGCCAGAGAGTTGTTATAGTACGGCTGCGTTCGGTTGTTCATCGCTAGCGCTGATCATAAGGCCACCACAAAACACTCCATCGCAGCACACACTGACAGAACACTCTACATGCACCGAAGTTCTGGCACCGTCATCCCTACGCAGCACGGCTGATGAGACACAAGCACACACCGGCCGCTAGCGGCACTTCGGCAGTAGTCCCGTGAAGGCGGCAGACGCGAGCGTGCTGAAAGCACACGGACGCAGACAGACAGACGCGAAGCGAAAACGTTTCATAGTAGCGTCACTATAGTCGCCGTTCAACAAAACGCCAGTTGGCGCCGCTTGAGGGCCTTTAGCGCCCAAAGCGTCATCTGCAGTCAAGCCTAAACAAGAAGCGGAAATACTCAACAATTCTTTAGCTATCCCATAGTTGCCAGATGATGGGTACAGTATCTTCTAAATTTGTTGTTTGTGTTCCGACAGCACAAAATACTGATATACCGCTATGAAAGTCAATTTACACTATATCATAAATGCTTTTTATACTTCTGCGATTTTATTAAAGAAACAACACAGTGCTTGATGAGATATTTTTGGCATTTACTGTAAAATTAGTTCTGTTTCACCAAATGAAAACACGCTAGCCAAATACATGATTGCAAACATTGCGTCTATGAATTAACCAGGGCCATCTTGTAAACGTACCTAATATTCGAAGCACTACTTCTGTACGAAAGTCCCCCCCACCCTTTATTTTTTGGCGAGTACAAGAAAACAAAACATAAATTTGCCAGAAAGTTGTTTTTGCAATGACACACACAAAAAGGAAATGTCAATTTTTTATTTGCTAGTCATACCTTTGGCTCCTATATGTACAGTATAACCTACATCAGTTACAAAAGTCAATATCAGGCAAATCACTGAAGGTAGTTCCTAGAGCCCTTGTTTCCTCTTCATTTCCTTTATGGCCTCCTGAAAAGTAGACAGAGGGGACGTGACAGCAAAGTGGAAGAGCACCATTTCCCCTGACCTACTTGCTTACACAGGTCAGGGGGAATAAGTATTTCCCCGGTCTGCAATCAACTGTAGATATTACATCATAATGATTGGTCTGAAAATGGGTGAGTGTTTTATGACTGCCTGATCTGATATATCAATCACACGTCATAAACCATGAGGGATCAGTAAATTACAATTTCACCAGTGCTGTCCCCCAGCCAAAAGGCTGTTTGGCTCTGGAACAGCACCAGAGAAATATGAGAATGGCATGTTGGTCCCGAAAAACTAGACATGATGAATGGCAGCAGCTGGAACTGTCTGAGCAGAACATATACCCCCCCAAAAAAAGACCACTGCATTTCAGCTGTTGTTAAATTTTATTTGTGGATGCACCAATCTGCAGTGTCTCCGTTTTCATATGTTCACGCACGTAACGGTGGTAGGGCACATCTTTTTCAGACTGGTCACTACATAGAGGTGTGGCGGTTGGGGCCAGTTGGTATGACACGACGATAGTTATAGCACGAGAACAGAACGACAAAACTTCTCTCTTTGTCGTCGTTCTGTTCTCGCACTATAACTATCGTCATGGTCACTACAGTCAGGCAACACGACTGAATGCTACATGCTTCAGCTCACCTCTAACTTTCTCACTTTATCCGATGAAATATCCTTTGCTTTCTCAGTTGTTCGTCCGATCCTTTCAATGAGTGCTCTCAGGAGGTTAGATGTTGACATCAGCTCAAGGCTTTCCTGCCCTGTGAAATGAAATAAGGCAGGCAGCGATATGCAAATGACATGAATATATACATCGCTAGAGTCCTAAGCCCAAAATTGTTTTGATTCATTATTTGAGGAGTTCCACCACGCTTGCGCTACACAAACTTTATAACCAATGCATTCATATCCCACTTGCCACATTTAAACACCAGTACACTGTATATGTATATCTCATAGAGCTTAATACAATAATACCTAGAGAGGATTCTGGCACTACGATCGTGTACCCTCATGGGAATTATGGGAAGTACATGCTTCGGATTGGATCGCGTTAGCCAGCGAACTGTCTACTGATCTTTTTCTAGTTTCAGTTTCATTCTTCGCCTAGCCTAGAGTGGGTAGTAGGGTGGGTGCAAAGAACTGAAGCTGCGCCTTTGTTGTTCAAAGAGGCTGAAAACTGCTACGCCTTTCAATTTACTGCAACGCTGGAACTGTATAAGTCGTGTTTGACAGTTTAAGCATCTTTCCACTCCCCGCTGTGCATAGATGTAGCGTCCCATGTCAGTGTAGGATATATTACATCGAGTTAACATATGTTGTCAATGCGTCTTGCCAAAATTCGTTGAAATTAACTGCAAAGCGACGGCGACGCGAAGTAGACGCATCACCACACTCTTCTGACTCGACTTCACAACAAAACGAGAGATGCGTTAGGGGCAGGCCACTTGAATAGACGCACCTGGCATCGCAGCAGATGAAATGTTTAGTGTTTCTCATTTAATACTGTGCTGTTATTTTCATAAATAGATATTGCATGCTTTTGAGGGCGAAACAAGGATTTTTGTTTTGAAATATTGTAAAGAATAATTCATTAAAGCTTGATGCCAAATCCGGAATGCAACGGCAGATCAATGCATACCCTGGTGGTTAAATTCGTCCAGGTTTCACATTTACCGCCTAGTCACAAAAACTTTTTGCATTAAAGTTTGCATGGAAAAAAATGAAGTAAGATTCAATTAGACATAACTTCATATCACTTTCTTTTACACTTAGCAAACAAGCGTCGCGAATCTCAAGAACCTGATCCATTTGAAGCAGATCGGAAGCCTGTACTTCTCGTAATTCCCATGGGGGTACAAGCGCCACTGAAGGAGACTGCGTAGACACTAGCACCCGATTCCCCTCTAGGTAATAATGAATGAAACACTATGGTATATCTGGTAACACTTCCCTGTAATACCACTGCTACGTTAGCAAGGGAAATTAAAAGCTATTAATCATTTAGAAGTACTTCAGTTTTAGAGACATGTAATTATGAATAGTAAAAACTGTGAATGGTATCCTTGCTTACTGGAATGAACAGCTCCATTTTTTCTTCACGGTGAGACTGAATGAAGGAAATTAAATGCATTCTAAAGATCCACAAATGGGAAAGAGGAAGATAAAGGTGTAACACATATTTTGCTTTCAATAAATACTGATCGTTTAACCCAGTATGTATGATCTGTCCGACTCATGGCCAATCCCCCAGAGTGGGTAGGTGCCAATGTTCCAAGGAGCATCACCATCATCCACATATTTGTGACACTTCACTACTCAAAAGTAAGTTGACCATATATTTAAAAATTTATTTCAATACACCTCCACTGATGTGAAAAGATAGAGATTGGTCATTCTAGATTCTTGCGAGTATGGCCTTAGGGATCTGCATTGGTTATTCAAAGATAGCACGTACGACACATTTAAAGCACTTGGCAAAAGTAAGGCCTTCCAAATGTGTCCTGAGCTAACAGGTAAGCTTATGAACATTAAAAGTGCTTCATTGCTTCCCACAATCGAACTGCGTTGTCTCACATATATGGTGTTTGTGAGTCATCATGCAAATGTGGTGTGTGCTTAGCTACATAACGCATTCAGCTGTCAGGGACAACACTCCCACATGCAGTGACCCCATATATGTGCATGATGCCATTCTTATTTTCACGGCTTCAGCTGTAAAAATCTTTGCTGAGTGTACTGGCATATGCAGCTACCACTGCCTTGTCAGTACTTTATTTCGAAGCATCCACAGTGATCTCAAAACATTGTTATTTTGTATGTTATGCCATTCTTCATTTTACATTTTTGAGATGAGTCAATTAACAAATATGCTATGATGAGTACAGCTAGCTTCTCTCGAAAATGAGCGTGACAAGTGTTACTGCATCAACTAAGTATTTTTGCTCATTATGATCGCGATTATAGGTTAGGTTTCTTTGGTCGTGGATACAGTGGATAGCTAATTATGGATAACCCACTGGGAGGTATGTGCCACAGATTGACACTCTACAATAGAACGACGAGAACACACGTGGATAATCTTAATGCAGAGGCGTTAAAAAAATCTGACATCAGCAGCGTTGTCTTGACGAATGCAAATAATAAATGTCAGGGCGCCAGCAGGAATAGAACCAAAGCACTTTGCATGGCAATCAAGCATTTTACCACAGATCCATGCCAGGACTAAGAACTAATTTTCAAATAGACCCAAATGTTTGTGAAACAATTGTGGTTGCAGTGCTGGCCATTCAATTTTATAAACATTACACATGTTCTCCTATGATACAGCTGTCTCGTCGGGTTATTGTTAATTGTAGTTAGGGGCGATGCGCTTAAGTGCATTTATGTAGCAGTGTCCAGAACTACCATTACCGCGAGCAACAGTGCTTCATATCAGCTTATCGCTTCATGTGTTGCTAATACTCATATTCCTGAAGGCATCATTGCACAAGTGCAAACTGGTTATATAAACATCTACAACTGTTCAATATATGTCTGTGCATGCAACATTTGGACATATATCTAGCGTCAGTTCATAACGCACCGCTCAATAAACAAATTACTACATGGTCCACTTCCTTCCTTAAGTGGGATCAGCCAAATTTTTCATGTTGATAAAACCAGCTTTATGAAGTTTATAGCATAGGCTTCTTTAAAGAACAAAATTACGTTAGCCATACCGAGAACAGGCTTTCTAAATCAGATCAGCAGTTTTATTATATGTGTACTTATTTTTGAAGCAGGATGCGGATCAAGCAATTTATGCAAATGCCAACTTTAGTGCAATATCAGTGAATGCTTGCGAGAAAGCATTCCAAGATGTGTGTTTGGGCGATTGGCACTCACCTTGGCAGTGCCCCAAACCATTCCTATAATGTTGTGCGTGTACTGATAAACTTTCCACAATGCATTCATATCAACTCACCCATCTCGTAAATTTTTGAAGGCACATGCGTAGCAAACTGTTCACCATTGTGAGGGTGATTCTGATTAATGTTGACTCGTTGAATATTGCAACAAAGACAAAGTCGGAAGAAGGGAGTTACAAGCGACAGGCACCAGTAACCTCCTGAAAACAAGGTGGTGCTGCTATTATGTTATTCACCAGTTGTAAAGTGATCCCTTCCTTTTTTTTTCAACATTTAACATGTGTACCTTCGCTTTTGATAGTCTGCTGAGGAATCTGTGGAACAACTGGCACTGCAATAGTATTTATGAGACGTGTGGACCTTAATAAATCTTAGTTTAAAGTCAGCGCTAGTATTTCTCCAGACCTTTATTTGCGTTTTTTTTTGTCACTCTTTTTTGTTTTGTACTCTGCGAGTCCCAATGCAGCTGTGCCGACTCGTCAATTTTGTCTGTGTTTCTGATATTGCAATCATGCTCTTTTCAAACAAAGGGCATATAATAACACAAGCATCACCGCATCCAAAATACGCTGTGCCGTGCACCTGCACTGCTATAAAGCATAGCTATTGAATAATTGTCCCACTGAGCCATTCAACAATGTCCCTGTTTATGTATGCGACATTGATTCGTTTGCAATAATAGTTTTTTTCTTACGCTGGCAACACAGACTGCCCAAATTGATTGTTATCTAAAGCGATACTCGGAGAAACAGTTGCTCCAGCAAGTCATCACACCAAATAAATCGAGGCTACAGCAGCGGTAGCTTACCGAGCGCTTTCCCACGCAGCATTACGTGAGCAGTGAGCTGTGCGGCACGTCTGAAAGGATACGAATCTGCAAGCTGAAAGGAATACGCAGAAACTAATGTAAGATCGCTATACGTGCATGTCAGCAACAGTCCATTTAATAAACCAGTAGAGCTCACCCTTTGAATTAGCTGCTCGTTGTGAAGCAGGTATCTGCAAAATGAGAACGATTATAAGCCGCGAGCAACGCTCCTCCACTATTGGCAAGGTGTTTTCTTACAGTCGCAAGCGGTTAAAGTTAGCGGCACGCTACAACGCGAACAATTGTCAGTCTTACCGTAAAAGCACGCGTAAAACCATTGCTGACGCGTGGTTAGGCAGGTGAATATTATACTGACATGAGTTTACGTCCGCTTTCTGCTAGCGATGCGCGCGGCCATCTTCACAACGCTCCCAAACCCTTCTGTCGAGGCTAGAGAGAGAGCACGCGCGGCGACAGCGCCGACCACAAACGGCACGAACCCTCCAACCCGAGGTAACTCACCATTGCCGACAATCATCGCTTGTCTGTTCGCGATCAACATTGGCTTAACGTAGCTCGGTTTAAATTGTTACAATCGCTAACTTCGCAGACCCGGCATTTTGAAGAGCAGCTCGTCAGCTGGCACGCTTGTCTGCCTTCGCAGCTATGCTCCACAAGAGTATGTCTTTAGTTTAGACAATCCGGTGAGTACACATCACGACCTCTTCGTACTCATTAATCTTTCACCGCTTCCCTGCTGAACTTTATCGGCGAGTTTGCATGGACACCGCGTTTCTCTGTCGCCTGCTGCACGAGCGAAAAAAAAAATTGATTGCCGCGTTGAAGTAACGAGTTTTCTCTGGTAACGTGCTGCCTCAGCACTCCGCCCATAAATGCGCGTGCTACGCGCTCACCACGTTTGCCCATCAGCTGTGCGGTTCTGCAGTCGCTCCCAAACGGATAGCGGCAAGCAGCCTATATATTTCTACTGTTCTCTGCAGTAAAGATGTCCGAGGCCGGTGCCACGTTGATCGAAGGAATCGGCGACGAGGTGTTGCTGTTTGCATCCGTCTCGTTGACATTTGTTGTCGGTCTCCTTGTGGCCATCTACATCCAGTCGGTTTTTCGGGCACGCAGTGAAGCACAGAATCAGGTAAGTTGTAGTGCTTCATACCAGCGTCACGTTCGTCACACTTCAAAACCGTACACGTGAGGGCAAGACATGATGGGTGTTCTATCGTACATGTACTAATCGTTGATGTTTCACTACGCCACATGAATGTTACCAGTTTTCTTTTTTTAAACACGCACGGTTGTTGTGTTCGTACACTTAGGTTGAAACCGGATGGCTCCGCATTTAGTCAACATAAAGCCGTACCTTGATTGTCCCACTGGCGCCTATTGTTCTGTCCCGCAGTCTACGCGGCGGGACGTCAACTCAGCGCAGAATGGCAATGCCCGTGTCACGGCCGGCGCGCCGTTTGGGGCTCGTGCATCGCCTAGGCAGACTGCTGAGCTCGCTCCTGGAGACAGTAGCGAAGCGGTGGAGTCTGCGACGAGCGATTCTTCTTCAGCCAGTCGAGACCGCGGTGACGACTCCCGACCGCTGCTGCCGCAGGAGTGCGAGGAACGCGGCACCGAGGAAGGAGAGCTGAGCCCCGACGTCGTTCGTCAGAGGCGGCTCGAGTTCATCGAGAGGAGTTCTCGCGTCGAGAGCATCAGCGGCGTCGAACCGGTGGAGCCGGACTCCGGGGAAGAGTCGGCCCACTCCACCGACGAAGCAGCGCCGGCAGCTCGAGAAGAGGAGGGCTTCGCCATCCGCCTCAAATACTTGAATGACACCGAGCGCTGCGTTAGGGGCATGCCAGACGAGACTGTTGGATCGTTCAAGAGGTGGGTAGCCTGTGTACCCATTTTCTCTTTGCTAGGGGTCACGAAATTAGTCATGAACAGTGTGTCAGGTGGAGGGCCCGTATTGTTTTGTCCTTACCGCTGTGTTGTCTTGAATGGGCCTATCTTTTGTCCATGTCCTTTATATACGCTACTATATGTTATCATGCTTTCATTCCAACAAGCCCAAATCACTACCCTCCTCGAGCACCCCCATTTTGGTGCTATGGTTTCAGAAAAGGGTCTTTAGTAAAGTCTATCTCATTCCGTCTTTTCATCGAGAGTGGGTTGTGGCCCCAATAATTTCCTTGTCGGGATGCTGACTCTGCTCTGCAGCTTGTCTAAAACAGCTACTGTGGTCCATTATCTCACCTGTGAACATTGTTTTTGTATTAACAAAGCCTGATACTTTCCTGTAGTGCTAATCACTTTGTGGCATTCGATACTTAAAGGGACCCACAACTGGCCTGAACAGGTGATTAGATTACGGAGGAAAAGAATAGCATGAATTAGAGTGACAGGTGACAGCATACTTTTCGCGATGTGAGTAGGATTTGTATTTTTAAATTGCGTTCAAAGGTAAACAAAACTGGCATGTCTTGCCCCTAGCACCAGAGCCATGAACCACAATTAGGAAGTCCTAATAACTTTGCTGTGATTATTTAAAGCACACCGTAATAAGGGCTTAAATTTCGAATATGTATGTTATTGCTCGTTTTCGTTTGTTCCGATGTGGCTTTCAAGGTAAAAGAATTACAGCATGAAAAGAGGCACTACTTTCGTGGCCTCTGCAGGAAAACGAGTGCAGTTGCGCATGCAGGCGGCCCCGCAGCATTTCCAGAGTAGCTCAATTCTCGTCACGTCGGGCGCTTTGGACGAAGCACGCGAGCTTTTGAATGCATCGCTGCGGTGCGCGAAATGCCGCCGACCTACTGCTCTGTAGAGAATTGCTTCATGCGGGCTGCTAGTAGAGGTGATGGTGGCGGCCCGCCTGATTCATCGCTACCGCTGTCGTCCGTCCAAGCATGTCGCTCTGGCGCTACTTGATAGGGGTCCAAATTTTGCGGTCGCATGCAAGCCAAAATTCGTTCCTCCAACTTGCTTAAGTTGTCAAGAGATGACATATTGAAGCCGTTCAACTACGGCCATGCGTGAACTACTATGCGGGAATTGTTGATCCTTTTTAAAGGCGTGCGTTTCGTTTTTAGAAGACTTGGCTAAATTCGAAATAAGGACCTGTGCAGGACCGAAAGTACTTGCGTAAGAAGCCCCCGGAAAATCCTGTAGCTCTTGTAAGATAATTTAGCACACTAGAAAACAGTGGTGGCAAGAGAGCAGGCTTGACAAACACAACAGTACGTGTTTGTACTTAGGTCTTCACATTTCATCACTGCTGGCCTTACACTGGCGTATAAGCGCTATCTCATCCACTGTTTGCAGCATGTCTCCTTGAGACATGCTGCAAACAGTGGATGAAAATTTTGATTATAAATGTTCTGCGGTGTCTTCCGCGTTACCATTCCATGATTACAAGCTCTACGCGATAAGCCTTCTGTTGCACTAAAGAAAACGGGTATCGTAATTATTGGTTGTGGGTCTCTTTAAGCATTCCCTATGCACTACAATTTTTAACAACTGGCAATAGGGCTGCTAAGCCTGTCAAAGCTGTGTTCTTTACACCATTTAGGAACAATCATCTCTGAATTGTCTCATCTGTTGAGAGGCTCATTTCAAAGCAAAGACAAATGCAAAAAAAGAGAGACATATTAAGGTGACTGCTTGTCTTTCACCTTCTCTTTCCTTTTCGCTGCTCATTTGTCCAGCAAGATTGAGTTGCTAATTTTACTTACAGGCTTACTCAGTCTTTAGTGGGCCATGACACCAATGTTTCTAGGTTACCTGTATGTACGTATTGCACAACAAGGTGGCAAAATTTAAGCACATTTGGTGCAGTAAGACATTTTAAATTGAATCCTTCAATTTTGCAGTCAAGCAACACAGCATTGTGGCAGCCTTAACTTGTGACCAAACGAGACATTCGAAAATTGAATTTTTGAAGTAAATTGAAGTAAATTGAAAAATGTGGAAAAGTTTGGACAACCTCGAAGACATCATGGTCGCTATGCATTATTCCTAGGTGTTCATATGCGTTTGATTTGTTGCTCAAGTTGTGTACCGCACAAGTAAAAGATTTATGGTCACAATGCAAGGGTGATGTGCTTACTGCGTTGTGTACCAGGACACGCAGAGAAACACATCCAGCACAGTTTCAAAGCAGTGAAATCAGTATTGTCATATGCTTTGGCGTGCAATTTTGTGATGTCACGCAGTGGCATGCCAGATTGGTTACACAGCCAATGCATATGACTTAGAAACATCACCTTTAGATTGTAAGTTCACAAGAAATCTGCAGCACAATTCTTGATGAGTTCACCTTGTAGACTGCCCACTTCGGCCTCCCCTGATTGGCTGGAGCTTGGCGAGCAGCATGCCGTCTATTTCCTGTTCTCCTCCTGCAACGCCATTTTAAAGGGGTATTGACACCTTTTTCGGAGGCGAGTTTACTCTGCCATACAAATCTCCTGGATACAGTGAGCAAGTGTAACTCTCAGCAAATGCTAAGATATATTATTGTAATATTGAAGTCAATTTTCTTGGGGTGCACCTACCAACATCGACACTAACTTGATGTCAGGCTACTGTACTAATCCTGGTGACTTCACACAGAAGTCTGACAAGTTGTGATGACATCAAGCACCAAAACACAATAAAATAGTGCCTTGCGCGTCGCCCTGTTGATCATCTGACTGTGCAGTGGTGCGGTCACTGTCATCCAGCATACCTGGGAAGCGAGCTAGCTGAGTTTGGAATAGTGTATGTGCACAAGAATACAAGATATACAAGGGCACAGGAATCGTTTCATATCGAATTTGTCGTCATGGCATCAATATTTTGCCCTGCAAGGTCTTGCGCCAGTGAAACGGGAAACAATAGGTGCAAGTTCCACCGGTTCTCGTTCGATCCGGCACTGAGACAAACCTTGGTCGACATCGTGCGCCGCGGCTGGACAGAGACTGGATGTCAACCAAGTGGAGTTTACTCTCTTCGCTGCCCTGCACTCCGAACGTGTACACGTGCAAAGTGCAGTTGCTGATTGACTTCTTGTCAACAAAGAACCTGCACCTCAAATTGATGCCATTCTAATGTTGCGCCCCGCTGCCACGACAATTGCCACACATCCAGTGCACAGCAGACGATAGAAAAAGCAACTCACAGACGGAAATACGTCCCGAAAACTTGCCCGTGCACATACTACATACTGCCCGGTGGTGCTGCTGATACCATGTTGTGACATCGGGGTATTGTGGGAACCAAAACGAGCTTTCCAAAAGCATGCTGTAATTCATTTTTAAAGGCACACTCATGCTTGCCGATACATTTCCTATGCTTTTGGGAGCTTGGTTAATCATTTGACATAAAAAACTAAAGGGGAAAAATTTCGTGTCAATACCCCTTTAATGTCGCAAAGCTCGTGCAAATCTCTGCATGAACCAAAGGAATGGAATGCATTTCACTGCAATGAATGCTGTCCCCAGAGATCCACCTTTGGACACACGTCTCGCAGGCTGTGCATCAACTCACTCACGTTAGCCCTTAAATTATGTTTCATGCAACCGCCCGCCTAATATACATGGAAGTACACATTCCCTGCATCATTGTCAGACACCTAAACTTGCTTGTACACAAGTTAAGACTCATCAAGTTTTTTTTTTTAGTGTCCCAGTACTGTGTATTTCTTCCACTTTTTCTTTATGTTGAGAATGTGCTGGCGGTACATAAACGTTGTCTAGAGTGCTATGACATTACGGCTCACTGCTCTTTCGAGTAACTGAATGCTCTCCATTAAAGTGGACATGTTCACAAAGTGGGTACATCAAGAATAGCTCTCCTGCTCGCTTTCTCTTCTCTCAACAAATTATGCCATGTATTGAAAAATCACATGTAGCACGCCATTGGCTGATTTAAACGTGGTGCGCTCGCTCGTTACAGAGATCGTTGCAGGACTTTTCCGTGCGTGCGTACACGATCACATTGAAAAAGCTGCGCATTCGAAAAAAAAAAAGGGAAAAAAAGTGCTCAAGATCACGAGGCCTGCGCGACGTTTTTCTGTGGCCCTGCCATTTCTCCCTGCTTAGCTTCCAGCGCTTTCGTCTGGATGAGAGAATGTAATTGCAGCATGTGACAAACCTTTCTAACTTCACTCCCACTGGACGGATTCTAAAAATTTTTGTGGTGTTGAATTCGTGAGGCATTAAACTCTCCCAGCGAATTTATTCCATGGTTATTTGAAAAAGTGTTTCAGGGCCCCGTAAGATTCTGATTGGGATGTAAGTGCTGTCCTCTAGCTTCACCATCGCTCGGTGAAGCCTGTTTGGGTTAGAAGTAATGCTTCATGATTAGCTTACGGCGATCTACAACACTCTTAGGTGTGCTCAGAATAGTGTTGTAAAAATCTGCTCCAGACTGATGGTCTGCAAATAGACTTTGTAAAAGGAAATGATGCCATGGAAACCTTCAGGAGTAGTCAAAAGCATCGTCTCTGCACTACATGAAAGTTGTGCTGAGCTCCTCAGAAAGTGCAAGTGATGAAGAAGTGTATGGTGTTGCATAATTCGTGATCAAACCAAGGGGTAGAAACTGGTGTTGAGCACTTTCAAAAAGTGAAAATGATGGTAAGCTACTCTGGAAAATGATGGTAAGCTACTCTGGAAGCACATAAGTTTGTGGATTATCATAACTTTAGCGCATGTTCAAGTTCTGTTTGAGAGAACTCCAGAAAAAATTCATAATAGCTTACTAAAGATGTAAAGAACGCTATTGGTTAGCAAGAAAACCAGACCAAACACCAATCAACGTTTCCAACTTCTTCTTTTGCAGTGCTGGCCTGCACGCGTTTGTTACTAATTCACCTTTTTTCAACAAAAGATGATGAATATTAACATCCATAGTGTGCTGTTATTAAGTGATCCTTGCCCAGCTGTTTCTTCCCAGTTTTCTTTCGAGTTCTGTTACAGAGTGAACTTATTGTAGTTGTGGATCGTTATGGGACAGTTCAATTACCCCTGTGGACAAGTAATTTGAGGTTGCTTAACACATCGGTTTTACAGAAATTCACGTTGGTGGTTTTGGTCTTTGCAGGCGCCATTTCGCTGCCGAGTTGGCAGGGCAACGGCTGGTGCGTCTGATCTACAACGGAGGTCAGCTCCGCGATGACAATGCACGTCTTTCGTCCTGTGGCCTTAGCGATGGCTGTGTTGTGCACGTCCATATCTCGACAACACCTGTTGTGCAGAACGAGACTTCATCGGCCAATTCCAATGGCGAGGGCGACCTCAACCTGGGTGCCCTCATGTGGCCACTGTTTGCGGCAACACTGGGCATCCTGTGGGTGCTGCACTTTCAGTACCGCGAGCTTTTCAACACTTCATCAACCGTTGTGCTTGTTGGCATTTCCGGATTGTTCTGTGTAGGTCTGTATGGACAGCACTACCCCCAGTCACCAGCAACTGCTGATCAAGGAGGAGAGACTCAGACCACTCCAGTGTCGGGACGGTAGACCTTGGTGTTATAAGCTATCCTTCTAGAATCTCCATATTAGGGCACTGGTGATTCTGATGTGGGACTGTGATTGAACAGTGCGGTCTACGAGAACTCTTATTGTGGAAAAGCACTTGGTTAATCATGTGAAGAGGATCCTGTATGCATCGTGGACATCTTCAAGTGCTTTTTTAAAACGACCTCACAAAAAGGGAATTGCTGAAGGTCTTCGTGTGCGTGTGTGTGAAGCATCAAAGTTCGGTGCATTTGATAGCGCTGTGAAAAAAGAAAAGTCAAATAGCTACAGCGCTGTTTGTGTGAAGTAGTTTGCATGACGGAGTGAACTGGGCCGGCAGGGCATGCGTTGAAGCTTCAGCTGTGTTACACGCAGAGTGTTATATGCGTGGACTAATATAAATGCAAATAGACCACGGGCATTGATAAGAATGTGCGCTTCTGCTGCCTAATCTTTGGTTTTTCATTGCCTTAAAACACACCTGAAAAGTGTTTTATTTCTTTTGTTCAGAGTTTTGCCAAGCTGGTTGTCTTAAAACACCGGGCTGGCACCGTTGAGCTTGTATATAAATGCATTTAGTATTTACTTAAACGTTTTTGTGCTTTCCTGGAGGCTGTATACGAGTTCTGCAACAGCCCAACAGTTTTATGTCATCACTAGGAAGCAACTCTAAGCTATGCCCATCACACACTGCAAGTCTCACTGTACAGAACTGAAGGTGAAGTTATGTTTGAACACTTGCATATTATTTGTGTGACTAGCTTTATTTTGGTAAAAAGTGTAAGCGGAGAGACTTCTTCCCTTGTTGCGATAACATTAAATGCTCATTTTGTTTCGAACAAGTTGATATAATTGAAGCCAACCATTTACTGCATGACATTACGAACATAAAATTTCAGAACAGTCCATTACATTATAGAATATATACTAATATTTTTAATATTCAACACAATTTTTCAGTTGCGATTTCGAGTGTCACAACGGCTGCCTAATAATGCCTGTTAGGTGACTAGTTCATGTCGTGTAGAAATTATGGCAATATTCTGTAACTAACAATACTACCAAAATGAGTAATTGTAATTAGTTGTATAAGTCGGCGAAAAGTGTTCAACTCACTCATGAATTATATTTTGCCTAGGGACTCACTCCGGTTCCGGCTCGCTGAAGTTTTTCTCACTGGGACTCACTTGAACTCCCGGCTTTATTCAAATGTGAGCGAGTTGGCTGAGTATGTTATATAATTGTCGTTTTTGATCATAGTAATAATGCTGTTCAACTACAATATATCTCATAACTGAACCTTTAAGTGACACCTTTTGACCTCATAACTTCTAATACCAGATGTAAGCGGTTGAGGTTAAGTAAGCACATTTATTTAATGGTATGACTCATAAATGGTCAACGTATCTTTATCAGGAACTTGGAAAAAAGTTTCTGAGAGGGTCGGAGGGAGGTGAGTCTCGCTATCGCCCCTCCACCCCCTTCGTAACACACATTTTCTATCAATACAAATTAGACTGTTGTATAAACTCTCGCGCGTTCAAAACTTCAAGTGAGTGTTTCTGCATGAGTATACAGTCGACTCTCAATAATTCAAGCTTGAAAGGACCTCTGAATTTTGTTTGAATTATCAAAAAGTTTGAATTTTCCTAAGTTCTCAGGTGGATCACTCTGGATGAGGTGATGCCACACATTATGATTAGGCATTGATTTTATCACATTTAAAAACTATTAAGCCTTTTAAAACGCTTACTGCATGCAATGAACAACAAGCAGAGGTGTAAGGTCCCCAAGTTTATTGGACATTTACTGCTAATCCGACCTTTTAAAAAAATTGTGAATTGCCAAGTGCTTCTTCGCTATAGAGAAAGAGAGAAAACACTTTATTCACGGGATCCTGCGTGGGGTAGGTGTGGCCTTGCAGGGCGCGGTCTACCCTTCTAATGTTCTAGTTTATGCAGTCCTAGAAACACTGGGCCAAGAACTCGAGGGTTGAACCTGACCCGACAGAGGATACTTGGGCTCCCGAGCCCCGCGCTTGCAGGTCACGAGTTGATATGTGCGTTCAGCATGAAGCTCTCCATACCATTTGAGAAGCATCACGGTTTCCCATGCGAGTGCTTTGTTTCGCACATTTGTTTACTAGCAAAGCCTTTTTTTTTGAAGGCCCGAGGTGCTTATTCTTCTTTTACTATTATTTTTAGACTGTTAGGATTATATAAGCATGTAACTTTTTAAATAGTAGCGGAAAAGCAGCAGATATTTTCTGGTATGGAACTGCAAAAAGTATGAATTAACTGAATAATAGAGTTTGAATTAAGAAGATTTTAAATACATTCAAAAAATTGGGGGCCAACCAAAAAGTTGAATTTTATTTGAAATAAATGAAAGTATGAATTATCAGAGTTTGAATTATCGCAAATCTACTGTAAACGTGAGCCGACATAACGCTTATGATAATGCTGAAAGTTATTGAAAACTTAGGCCAGCAAGAAGTGTTGAGCTTAGCCAGACTCGCTCAAGAAATATATTCTGCGCTTTGGGCTCTAGTGGACTTGCTCAAACTCACTCAGACTCGTGGCTTGATACGAGTCTGAGCAAGCCTGAATTAGTTGACCCATGAGTGAGTTTGACGACCTATGATGAGTCGTAAACAGGGCCAGATGCGACGCTATCGGCCTTTGACATGCAAACTCAAAGTGCAGTCTAACCGCTGCACCTGATGACTAAAGTTACCTGTATATGGAAAGGGAACGGCTTTGTTGAACCAGTGTAGAGACAAGTGTAACCATCATACACTGCATGATATGCAGTTGATGAGGGTTAGAGGGACACTAAACGGAACCAATAAGTCGACATTTATTGTTGAAATGGCGGTCCAGAAATCTTGTAGTGTTACTTTTTGTCAAGGAAGGGCTTACTCTGAAATTAAATTGCGTTTTAGAGGTCCGCATCGGGCTAGCGCACTTCGAACTACCCACCTCAATGGAACGACGGATGTCACTGTCGCCGTGCACTTTAATGTGCGGCCGCCGACACTCTAGTAGCAGCTGAGAGAAAGTAGCGGGAACCACAGCAGCAACAAGGACCATTGAACAAGTTTTAGTCATGGCCTTCAAGATTGCAGGCGTGCTTGGTTCAACTAGACCCAACTATATGGCACGGCCTGTCCAGTTTAACCAAGTGAAAATTGAACTTTTGAACCACTCGCACCATTCCCCATAGGTCTTTGGGGTATTTATTCCATGAAACAAACAGAAATGAACAAGCAGTGTTTCATTACGTCTCTTCATGCACAGAATGTTCTTTATTTAGTGCAGTTAGATCCGTTACTAGTGAATTATTGTAGGCAGATGTTCTCACCTCATTGGGATCATTTTGAGAATATCCTACTGCGGTGCATGTTTTCTTGTGCATTTACCTTATTTTCTCAATAAGTAGGTCACTGCTGTTGATAATGTTCTTGTTTTAGACATTGTCATGCATTGAGCTTTCACTCTGACGTAAATTGTTATTCGACATTAGTGTGTGACTTAAGTGTCCCCTTAAGGATGGTTGCTTGCTTGGATAGTTTGTTTCAACACATTTAACAGGGTGTAAAACTGTAGAGAAGACAGCATAGAGTGTAAAGAGAGCTTTTACACTCTGTGTTGTCCTTTCCAGTTTTATGCACTGTTACACGTTTTATATGAACGTTCTTTAATGGTGAGTTGACCCGGAGTCACAGGGAGTCGTCATTGGAAGAGTGTTCTAATGTTGAGCCAGCCTGTGGATCAGTAAAACAGTAGTTTGAGGTTGGGAAAAATGCTAACTACTGCAATTTGTATGGGAGCAAAGTGAAGTTCCAACGGGAGGAGGAAAGATATTGAAAGCTAGAGGGACAAGGATAAGTCACATTCCTGAGAATATTACCTGCATTCATATAATTAATTATTACATATCTGCAGTGCCACAGTGTGCATAACAGCAGGGGGTTAGAGTAAAAAGAAACAATGTAATCACACTCTCAAAGTGTGGTGAAACACATTGTTGTCCTATATGTTCACAACGTGTGGACTTTCAGTGTATGGTGGTGTCTCGAGGGCACAGAAGTGAGTAAATTAATATACCTATCTCAATCAATGCCAGTTTTAGAATGGCAGTAAAAAAAATTCAGTCTAAGCTGAAAAACGTGGACAGAGAAAGATGGGCACAGAGGCGCTAACTTGTAACAATGTTTATTCCGGAAATAGGTAATCAAATTCATAGGCCACATCGCTTTATAATCATCATGACTGCAACCTCTGTTGCAAATTCAATAGAGCCTCTCACAAAATTACCTAAAGGTAAATGTGGTGCTAATTAGCTGGTGGATGCAAGGGAATGCCGGGTTATGTGAGCTTCGAACTTGACTCAGATTTGTATACCTCGAAGACGGGTCTGGCTTCACGTTTAAGTGGTTGATTTCTCACTGAAAGAGCATGTAATAAGTTATTTATTTTTTGTCATTGCACAGAAATGTATTATATTTTACACTGGAACCTTCTACATCAATGTAGAATTTTGAAAAACGTAAGAAGTAACCAACGGTCTCTAAACTTGGCAGGAAGATGACAAAGCGGGTGTTCCCTCTGCCAGTTTATGTCGTCTGCTGCTTTCTATCGCCATTTCGTTGTTCTGCCAAGGTGAGTGGACTTTCATTTTAGAATATAATACGTGTGAACGAAATTTGCTTCTGAGCGTTTTGTTTTATAGAAGCTTTATTGACGCAGTCGTATTCACTTTCGAACCGAAGCCTCGCTCAACACCAGCCTACACAAGCCTCGCAGGCACATATGCCGTCATTCCCTGCGCTGCAACGGGTGCGCGTTACTTTTGCATTAATAACTGCAATGCCTGCAGTGGGCATCCAGCAACCAACCCCCCCTCCACCCCCTATAAACATTCATTTATGCACCGTCCATTTTCCTTCCTCCATGCACCGCCAGCTCAGACTCGCATAATTCTTGCTATATGTCGGTAGACCCTTGCCCACAACTGCGTCATTACACTCGATAAACTTATTTTTATGAAGCGTTGAAACTTGGTCGAGTTGGTATGACATAACTGAATATACGAGCAGCCCAACTTTAAAGGAGTTACAGTTATGGAAGCGAAAAAACAAATAGAAAAGAGCGCCGACTTTCAACAATGATTTAGTAGAGGAGTGGTGTACATATATAGACGGAAAAAGAAGAGAGTGGGCATGCGTAGACGGGTGCAGTTTACAACCACTGTGAAACACTGTCAGCAAAACTCTTGTTGATTGAACATAGCTTTAAAAATGATCGCGATACGCAATCTCTTTCTGCAATAGCGCAACTGATGGAGAACTTGCGCATGCACCGTCAAACTTGCTTGCGTGATAGGCTTCAATTAACTCACGCGTGGCCTGTGAGTGCTGGTTGCCTATTGCCTCGCAGCACTCGAAGAGGGGCACGCAGCGGCAGTCTCGGCAGTAGATTTCAAGGTGTCCTTAGACCGCATTGTGCACGTTATTATTGTGCCCTCGTAAACAGTCATTCAAGCACCTTCCGGTTTGCCCAATGTATATCTGTTACCGCAGGATAGTGGAATAAGATATATACGACAGCAATAACAAAAGGCACGAAGCGCATTCTGTGTTTCCGCAAGTGCCTCTATTTGCAGCTACAACGTTCATAAAGGCCTTGTACTCCTAAGAAAAATGGCGTGCCTTAACTGCCTTAGCTGACAGCACGACGGAATGTATGTGGCAACACATACTCCATAGCCTACGAGCTGTCTCTTCAAAGAAGCCACAGTTGCCGAAGAACCGCGTACACATTGTTGATTGATTGATTTGTGGGGTTTAACGTCCCAAAACCACCATATGATTATGAGAGACGCCGTAGTGGAGGGCTCCGAAAATTTTGACCACCTGGGGTTCTTTAACGTGCACCCAAATCTGAGTACACGGGCCTACA